CTGTGTCGTCTCCCAGTTCTTGGATTTCTCCACCGCCTTCTTCCACCTCGCATACCGAAACTCACTCTCTGCATGACAAAACAAGAGTTCTCATCCGAACACAGAAAAAAATATTTCCTTTTCTAGAGGCGGAACCAGCGGGGGCCTTGGCACCTTCAGGGTTGATCTGAGGCTCGAACTTCTCCGATGTGACCTCGCTCAGGTCCTCGGGTTCAGGCTCCACACGCTCACCCCTTCTGCCGCTCCCGCGGCCATTGCTGCACCCAGAGCCGTGGTCTCGGGCATTGAAGGCTTCACTGGAGACAACACAAGAGTCTGTAACTCTAGGAACATGCAGTTTTTGTGCTCCAACTCTAATAACAATTACATTTTGACATGATTTCTAAAAACACATATTCTCCCCTTCAGAAGGCTGGAATCATGCTTGTAGAGATGGCAGAAGAAAGGCAAAACACATTGGTTGGCAAGGAAGTAAAAAAAAAAATGCATGCCTCCATTTTCAGTTATGACCAGTGATGGGAATAACGCCGTTTAAAATAAAGGCGTTACTAACGGCGTTCTTTTTAGGTAACGGAATAATCTAATTAATTACTTTTCCCACTGTTGCAATGCCATTACCGTTACTGGGCATGGAAGGTTGTGCGTTACTATGTGCTTGTCGAACGTTGAGCAATAGTATGAGGCTTTCTGACCACCACACTTCATCTGCAGCCAGGAAGCGAGAGGTGTCGGTAACGCACTTACAAACACAATGATGATTGGCCGGGTGGGCGGAGACCCTCACTGTTCTCATTGTCTCAGTCGCTGCCTGCTGTAGACCCAATGAGCAGTGATGGGAATAACGCCGTTTAAAATAACCGCGTTACTAAAAACACATTTTTTTTCAGTAACGAACAAACTAATTAATTGCCATCTTCTTTTATCAAAACGTTGTTTCTGTTACTGATAAGGAAATGCGTGTGTTAAGCAGCGCGGTGTGTTGAAGCTGTCATCAGCTGACCAGGAGCTAAAGAGGCAGATGTATTCATCCAAGCGCATCACGGCCCGTGAAGAACGAGGAAGACGTGATGAATAGTCTACGCCCTTCTTGGCGTGACAGCGGGACGTCCCGAAGGACCGCTCACCTGTTCACCGCTCAGACGTCCTGATCTTCTACCTTCCTAGATCATCCAGCTGTAACCTGTTTCTGATCATGTCTTTAGTCCCGCTGTAACACTGATGCATCAGTCTCAGACGGCATGGAGCTCAGGTGTTATTAGAACTACCTGTGTGTGTTTACCACCCAGCTTCAGCTCTTCTGTGTTTGGGTCTGACCCAAGTTAGTAAATGTAAGTCCTCCCTCAGGTTTGTGCCTCTTCTAGTGTCATTTTAAAGGATTTTATTTATTTATTTAACCGTTACTAGATTACCAGCAACAGAAATGCTGCTAAAACACACAATTATGTGAAGCAGAAAAATTAAAATACTGTACAAATTTACATTTTTTTCTGTAATTTAACTAGACTGAGAGACCATTTAAAGGCTCAGGAAACTTTACAGGTGTTTCTATTTGCAATTTTAAATTTTAGCTGATTGGGGTCTTGTTAAATATCACACAGTGACCTTTAATAGTCTTGATTAGTGTAATGTTCCTGTTAGTAGGTCCTCCTGTTAAGTGCTTATTTATTTAAATTATTCAGGTTTATAAAAACATTTGGACATTTTATTATGTTCCAGTCATTAGTCATTTATATTTCACTATTGTAGTAATTTATAGCAAATTAAGTAAGTTTAAGAGGGGAACCCATTTTTCCTGCATTCTTTAATGAAAAAAATAACTAAGTAGTTATTTTTCTTGGTAATTAGTTTACTTTTATAATCTCGTAACTCTGCAAGTAACTGAGTTACTTTTTTGACAAAGTAATTAGTAACTATAACTAATTACTTTTTAAAAGTAATTTTCCCAACACTGGTTAGGACCCATTTATAAGTGATCCAAGTATAGCTTGAACTTCAGCAAGTACTAGCTGCCATGTGTTTGGTTCTTTAGATAAGTTCCAGCAAAAATGGAAGATGGCTGCATTTTCCCCAATTCCTGGTTAAGATTCCCCATAATTAAGCAGCCATATGCACTTTATTTACCTCATTAAACAATTAATTTTGCACTACAACTTGTGCTTTAACTGCAGACTGTCAGCTTTTATTTGAGGGTATTTACATCCAAATCAGGTGAACGGTGTAGGAATTACAACAGTTTGAATATGTGCCTCCCACTTGTTAAGGGACCAAAAGTAATGGGACAGAATAAGAACCATAAATCAAACTTATACATTTCAATACTTGGTTGCAAATCCTTTGCAGTCAATTACAGCCTGAAGTCTGGAACACACAGACATCACCAGACGTTGGGTTTCATCCCTGGTGATGCTCTGCCAGGCCTCTACTGCAACAGTCTTCAGTTCCTGCTTGTTCCTGGGGCATTTTCCCTTCAGTTTTGTCTTCAGCAAGTGAAATGCATGCTCAATCGGATTCAGGTCTGGTGATTGACTTGGCTATTGCAAAACAGTCCACTTCTTTAGCTTCAAAAACTCTTTGGTTGCTTTGGCAGTATGCTTTGGGTCATTGTTTTGGGTCATTGTCCATCTGCACTGTGAAGCGCCGTCCAATGAGTTCTGAGGCATTTGGCTGAATATGAGCAGATAATATTGCCCGAAACACTTCAGAATTCATCGTGCTGCTTTTGTTAGCAGTCACATCATCAATAAATACAAGAGAACCAGTTCCACTGGCAGCCATACATGCCCACGCCATGACACTTCCAGCACCATGCTTCACTGATGAGGTGGTATGCTTAGGATCATGAGCAGTTCCTTTCCATCTCCATACTCTTCTCTTCCCATCACTCTGGTACAAGTTGATCTTGGTCTCATCTGTCCGTAGGATGTTGTGCCAGAACTGTGAAGGCTTTTTTAGATGTTGTTTGGCAAACTCTAATCTGGCCTTCCTGTTTTTGGGGCTCACCAGTGGTTTACATCTTGTGGTGAACCCTCTGTATTCACACTGGTGGAGTCTTCTCTTGATTGTTGACTTTGACACAGATACACCTACCTCCTGGAGAGTGTTCTTGATCTGGCCAACTGTTGTGAAGGGTGTTTTCTTCACCAGGGAAAGGATTCTTCGGTCATCCTCCACAATTGTTTTCCGTGGTCTTCCGGGTCTTTTGGTGTTGCTGAGCTCACCGGTGTGTTGCTTCTTTTTGAGAATGTTCCAAACTGTTGTTTTGGCCACGCCTAATGGTGTGGCTATCTCTCTGATAGGTTTCTTTTGTTTTTTCAGCCTAATGATGGCTTGCTTCACTGATAGTGACAGCTCTTGCAGATGCTGTGGAAACCCGTCCTACCCCCCCGCCTTCAGATTGTGGACTTCACAGCGAGGCCATCAACCTGCGGGAATGTGCTCTATGCTCCTTCCAAGATCTCTCTCCCTCCTGTGGACACAGCTGGCTGAGCGCCACACATGTCTGCTGGCCCTGGATAAAACAGGATCCCAGCCCCCCCCCCCCCCCCCCCCCCCCCCATCGGAGTCTCATGTTGTGAATGTTGAAGTTCGTGCTTATATGTTTGAGGTGTTTTTTTTTTTGCATAGTACAGCTACGCCCTGTCGGAAGTAACTCTGGTATGCCTTTTTTCCCCTCCCCCAACTTATCCTCATGTAACTGCTTTTCATCTATTAAGGTAGTGCGACTCGCGTTGCGAATGACCACAGTCACCAATTCTTGTCATGTGTCTTGCCCATGTATGTCTGATCTCTGAATTGTGTGTCCTGAAACTCTATTTTGTTTCTCTGTATGTCTTGCACATGTGGTAGAAATGACAATAAATGTTTCTTCTTCTTCTTCTTCTTCTTCTTCTTCTTCTCTTGGGATCTCATTTTGACAGTTGTCAGCAACAGATTCCAAATGCAAATAGCACACTTGAAATGAACTCTGGACCTTTTATCTGCTCATTGTAATTGGGAAAATGAGGGAATAACACACACCTGACCATGGAACAGCTGAGAAGCCAATTGTCCCATTAATTTTGGTCCCTTAACAAGTGGGAGGCACATATGCAAACTGTTGTAATTCCTACACCGTTCACCTGATTTGGATGTAAATACCTTCAAATAAAAGCTGACAGTCTGCAGTTAAAGCACATCTTGTTCGTTTCATTAGATATCCATTGTGGTGGTGTATAGAGCCAAAAATGTTAGCATTGTGTCGATGTCCCAATATTTATGGACCTGACTGTACATTAAGAGTCTGAGATACCATAACAAACCTGTGGCTGAAGAACTGGTTCAGTCTCTGGTAGTTTGTTTAACGTCACATTTGGAGTAACTCCGATCTCTTTGGCACATAAGTAACGCAATATTCACATTTAACTCTTACCTACAGGGATGCAGAGAATGTCGGCCTGCAGCTGCATCAGCAACCTGTTAGACGTCATTCCTCCGTCCACCTGCAGCTGATTCAAAGGTATACCACTGTCCTGGTTCATGGCGTCCAGGATCTGCAACCAGATTAGAATAACAAAAACAAAAACAAAACAAAAAAGTCAACAAAGTAGACTGATATGAAAGAAAAAAAACTATTTTTACCTCGCGTGTTTGGAAACAGACAGCTTCCAGAGCAGCGAAGGCCACATGGCTCTTGTTAGTGAACTGAGTTAATCCACAAATGATCCTGCAACACAAAGAGATCCAGAATCAAAGACACGATTCCTCATCGCAAGTCAAAGAAAACTGCTGCTGTTGTACCCTCTGGCGCTGGGCTCCCAGTACGGTGCATAAAGGCCCGAAAAAGCAGGAACAAAGTAACAACCGTAGGATGTCCCGACGGACGCAGCCAGCTTCTCTGTAAAAGGGAGGAGAACAAAAAGGTTCAAAGTTTTTTTTATCACAGATTCTTACGGGTTAGAAATAACTTTTTTCACCATTTACTACAGAGGACAATCAAGGTTTTCCTTAGTTTTAGGGAATGGTGCAAAAACAAAATGTCCAGTAGGTGGTGGCATAACAAATGACTCTATCGAAGAGTTTTAGGCCAATTTAAAGTGTCTTCCAGGATGGTTTCTACTATCCTAGGAGCCCAGAACCCACGGCACGGCAATTTGTAGTCTCACAGATCCCCGTAAAAAAACAGTGCTTCTGCTCTTGGGCACTGCGTTTTACGTCACTCTTCCCGACCTCTGTTTGATGTCAAAAAATATGAATGGGAGTCTATAGAGCAATAAGTTCTTTTCTGATCCTGTTTGATATGCGACATGGATTTCACATATGATGCCCGAGAATTTTTAAGAAACATTTTGATGCCAAAAAGGCGCTTATTTTCCTACAGTGACAAAAGTTATTTTAGTGTGAAAAGAGAGAACTACAGCTGCTTGTCTCACAAAAACTGACGTCATCAAACGAGAGGAGAGAAAAAATATAGATGAGTTTAGCAAGCTTCAAATTAGGGCTGAACGATTTTGAAAAATAATCTTTTTGCGATTTTTTTCTTCAATATTGCAATTGCGATTTAATTCACAATTATTTTTTCAAGGGGCTTTTCTCATTTTTCAACTAACGGAAGCAAAAAAAAAAGAGATCTATGTAACTTGTACGGAATATAAACAAGTTTATGTATCTACATATATCAACAAGTTTATTTGTCTACTTATACATAAATACTCACAAGTAAAGACAACATCTTGTATTTGAAGGTGCAATGCTTTGCAGCTAGGAGCACATCCTTTGAAGGAGAATAGGTATTAGCATCAACTGTGAAAATTTATTTGCAGGAAAGAAGTGTGTCCCATTTATTGAAGTCTTTTGTGTTTAGAGTTTTTAACGTCTTGTCCATGCAGAGCTTCCGTAGTTCAGTTACGTTCACAGCTGCTAGCCAAAACTCAGTGGAGTTGAAGTACAGTTTTCTAGCTTTACTAAGATATCTGTCTGTACTTATTTGATTGATGGCAGTTTTTACTTTTTATTAGACTCCAAATGTATTAATTTGGCACGTTCCTAATTCGTAATTTGTAAGAATCTATTCGGCGATATTAGCATTAGCATCCCTATGGGTTTTCCAGTGTATATTAGCGTTGTGCTAACCACTCGCTGCCAGTCAAATCGCAGCCTTTGCGATTATAAAATCTACTTTTGTCACATCGCAATTTTATTGCATATGCAATTAATCGTTCAGCCCTACTTCAAATCCTTCTCCCAGGATGAAAGTAGGAGCATTAAACGTGGAGTAAACCATTATATATCTGTCCATGTGGTAAACAGCAGGTATGCTGGGGGACAAGACATTGTCAAATGACATAATGTATGCAACATCTTTTTATTTACAAATTTACACAAGCTAATAAATCTAAAATTATGTAACAAACATGGTCAAAACACACATCTTTATGTATCATTTTAATTGAAGTACCACATATGTGTGATTCAGGGAGTAAGGCAAAGTGAATCAGAAACACTTGCATCAGGGGACCCATGAGCCGATCGGAACGGAAGTGGAGTAGACTTACGCTCCCTGTTGACTAAATTATGGTGTGCTTCGACAGAATAAAACATTTGAAATCTTATTGTGGACGGCTTTTGTCTTGTATGGTGTATGAGGATTGCTGTAAAGTCACCGACTCGATGCAATTTGCTGGGTTCCTTATATAGGAAACTTTTTTCTGATTGGCTTTATGAACTGACCTGTATTGGAATGTTTATTATGTCAAGTGCCTTGAGACTATGCTTGTTGTGATTTGGCGCTATATAAATAAACGAACTGGATTGACTGACGGCTAAAAGGAAGGAGCCTGTCACGTTACCTCTTTCAGAAATTCTTCAGAACTCCTAGAGAGGAAACACTGTAGGTGTATTACGATGATGGTGTATAGGGAGTCTTAAGTCACTTCCGCACCATGGGTCCCCGGAAGAACGAAAAAAATGAATGCAAGTCAATGGAGCTAAAAACGCTATTTTCTAATTCCGCTTGTTATGTGCCATGGATTTCACATAGGTGTACGTGAATTTTAAAGACTCATTTTGATACCAAGAACGCACTTATTTTTGAACGGGGGGAAACGCTATCTTAGGTTTTGTGTGAAAATAAGTTCAGGACTACAAATGTGCATCACCAAAGTGACGTCAACGAAACAGACACGGAGAAAATCAGAGGAAAAATAGCTGTAAGTTGAGAAAATTTCAAATCCTTTCCTCAGGAGGAAAGAACCACCATAAATCTGGCCAGGTGGTAAGTAGCAGCTACGCTAGAGGAGAGGAGATTCTGTGGTGACGTCATATATGAGACGTGCCGATGTCTGATTTGTAGTCGTGCTGATTACAAACTTTTACAAGCTGTTAACTTTCAAAGTACGTGACTCATAAAACACGTCATTATTTTTCATTTATATTGCAGTACCACATATGTGTGATTCATGGCGTAAGGCAAAGCGGATTAGAAAATAGTGTTTTTAGCCTCGTTCATTTTATCGTTCTACGGGGGACCATTGCTGTCTGGAAAGGGAGGACATGGTTCCCTATTAAGACCACTTAGAAGCGATGTTTATTTTTTTGTCCCCAGTTTTAAGATTAATGTCAAAATATCGATAGAAAAATGTAACTGTAGTTTTAGAAGAATAAATGTTTAGAAAATACTCTAAATTACATTTCCAGATTAAAGACAAAGTCGAATCGAAAAATGAATTTCGAACTCCAGAACAAAGTCTACACTCGAGTCATGGCTGCACAGGAAGTGCTACATTCAGATGTTGATGATGTTGACGTGTGTAATCGTTTAAGGTGAACTTTACTTCTTCAAACTGAGGCTGTTCAGGAAGCCTGTCAAATTTGACTAAACACAGAAACATACTTAGAAATGGCTGAAACGTTGCTTCAAGAGGCCAAACCAACTAGTTTTCAAATGTTGCCTAATGGCAGGATGTACCAAGCTCTTCAGATGATCCGATGATCCCGAGATTGTCCTGCAGCCAGCGAACCACAGCTCCAGCAATGGCCACAGAGCCCTGTGAAGAGCAGAGGGTTCAAGCAGATGTTGACTGACATGTTTCCATGTGACTGAGCCCAAAATTCACTCAAGTGATGCTAATCTAAGAGATTATACCTCAAGTGCGTAACAAGCAGGCTTATCTCGACCAAGTTTGTAGGCGACTGTAGTCAGCAGACCGTGATCAGACATAACAGGCTGCAAAAAACGACAACAATAACGTCACAGTAGGCCAAAGCCATGGTCACTGTTGCATCCTGGTTTCATATACGACACCTTGGATCCAGTGTTTCGCAAAAGAAAGCATCCAGTCCCGTACCTGAAATGTAAAGCAAACGCTTGATTCCTAACATCACAAAAAAGTGCAAAAAGCTGATTTTTAATTTTTTTTAAGTCTCCTACGTGTTTTTAGCTTGGCCGTCTTTGAAACACATCTGCCCAACGAGAGCAGCAGACTGGTCGCCCAAGCACTGATTCCATTCAAAATAACAATTTGAGATTACATCCAGTTCTACATAAGGGATTATATGAAAGGAAAACAGAAACAAGACTTACTCCTGAGATGGGAATACCAGATAAAGCTCCAGATTTCTGCAAAAAGGAAAACCCAAACTGAGCTGCTTTTCTTCTTTCAGTTTCTTTTAAAATAGAGCATTCACAATTACTTATCTACTGGATGGCTTCATGCTACGTATTTGTTGCAAAAACATTCTTACTCGCTACAACCAATCACGATCACTTATTATTTGACTGCATGGCGCCAAATAACGAAACAATCTTGTTTTCTACCAGCATGTTTTTACACAAACAGCACTGATGAGGGGAACAGATGATATATTAATGTCTTCACTCCTATGTGCAACTTCGGTTAGATGTGATAATGTGTAGTGATGAGCACAAAAAAGCTGTGCCAAAAGAGTGAAGAGGTTCAGGGGTGGTGCTGGCTGGGAGGCTGAGGGTCGATGACAACCAGCAGAGCAGCATGCCACCACACAAGCAGAGGGACAGCCCACACCATCCAGTACATTTCCAAATACAATCATTACCTTTCCCTCACAAAACACACTACAAATCCAGCTTTGTGTTGTGATCTTGGCAATAATTTATTATTATTATTTTTTTAGAAACATTCCAATAATAAAAATCAATGCAGTGGAAACTAAACTTTAATTCAAACAATGCACCAATTTTTCGGCATATTTCCATAAGCATGCTTTGATTGAAAATATTAAACTGAAGTCAGAAAGGAGCACAAAACAGGTTTTTTTCTGCCGTTAACTGGTATACTTTCATGTTTTTGTGTGTTTAAAAAGAGTTGCGTGACTATAAATTTGTTTAAAATTAAGAAATAAGGCTTTTTAAAATTATCTTTCTTTTTTAAAAATGAACTGAAATTAAAAAAGAATTACAATAAGAAATGTCCAACTTGTAGATCTAAAAATTACAAATATATATTTTTTTATTGATTCTCACTCAAACTTTGCATCATAGATCATTTAGAATTTTTTGAAGCATTACAAAAACCTGTAATGAAGATGTTACTATTGGTTCCTATAGGGAGCCAAAGTCACGCCCATCTTCCGGATCATGGGTCTCAGAAGAATTCATGCAAGTCAATGAGGCTAAAAACGCCGTTTTCTCATTCAATTTGTTATGTGCCATGGATTTCACATATGATGTCCCAAATTTTAAAGACACAATTTGATGCCAAGTAAACGCTTATTTTTGAATGGGGGGAAAATTTAGGTTCTGTGTGACAATATGTCCAGGACTACAAATGCGCTTCACGAAATTGACGTCATTGAACCAGAAACAAAAGAAAAAGAAAAGAAAAACGCAGAAGAAAAATGGCTGTAAGTTCAGCAAACTTCAAATCCTTCCCTCAGGAGGAAAGAACCACCGTAAATCTGGCCATGTGGTAAGTAGCAGCTACGCTAGGGGAGGAGATTCTGTGGTGGTGTAGTGATTAATGCGACACACAGAGGTCTGTGATAAATCTGTGTGACTGGTGTGGTCCAAACACACATCATTACTTTTCATTAAAATTAAAGTACAACATATGTGCGATCCAGCGTATAAGGCAAAGCGGATTAGAAATTTTAGCCCCGTTTTTCTTTCCTCATTCTTCCGGGGACCGATGAGCCGACCGGAAAGCAAGGAAACTTAGGCTCCCTATTTCGATGATTTTATAAAAGATAAAAAGATTAAGCAATTATAATAAGGTTAACAAATAAGATAAATTGTCAAAAATGTTTTTGCTTTAATTTTTTTTTTTGCCAGAGGATATCAGTTTTAAACTTCCAGCAATGGAGAAAAATACCAATGAATTTCTTTGCTTAAAAAAAAGTTGAATAAATCAAACAGAATTTAAAAAATAATATTTTTTTTGCTGTCACCAAACTGGAAAAAATTATATCAAAGCTTTAAAAAAAAGACAAACTGGATTTAGCTTATAAGACTCCAGTCGCTACATCTAACCCTAAACCTATGATTATTTTTAACAGGAAATAAGGAAAATCTATGAGGGTTTTTCTGCTGTTATTTGGTTCACATAAAAACCTCAGAGGATAATATTTTTGTGTTTCCAGAAGCAGAGAATATGGTTGCTCTATAAAATAAATAAAAAACTATAAATGTTAAAATGAACAAATAAATAAATACATATATAACATTAAACTAAAATATTGTTTATAACCAGACTTGAACAGATTAGAATTTTACAAAAATCACAACTCAGAATCAGCCAAGAGAACTATAATTGGTGCATTAATTTGACTTTAAATTTTCAGGCCTTAAATACCATTTTTTCATTTGAGATATTAAACATCTGAGGAAAGTGTTAGCCCACAACATGAATAAAAAGTTGGACAAGCAAGATCTATCCTGCAAGTGTGACTTTTCTAACTTGGTTTGAAGTTTGGAAATGCACTGAGGGATGGTTTACTCATTTTGGTGAAGAAGAAGCAGAACGGGTTACTTTACGTGATGAGTAAAACAGTGATTGCGAATGTCACTTACCAGGCTAGAACAAATTTTCTACCAGTGAGAAAAGAGAGACAATGGCACACAAAAATGCCTAAAAGAATTCTCAGTCAACCTTCATGCACTTCAAAAACACACCAACCAAAAATACCTGTATTATTTTACACACCAAAACACGTCTGTTATCTTTATTAGTGGCTGTTTCATTAGACTTTGATCTTGTTTAAAAAAAATATAAAATATGTTGGGATGATTTAAACATTTAAGTGACAATTATGAAAAAAGTACTTACCATGAGACCATATATTTCTGATGAACTCCTCACTCTGGGCAAAATTTCCATAGGAATACCAAAATATCTAAAAAATAAATAAATAAATAAATAATTGGATATTTTGATTAAAGTTCTGAATTAAAACAAACAGATGCTACTGTTTCTTTAAAGCCCCACCCTCAAAGCTTCTCTGTAAGGGGCCCTCTGCCCCGGGGGTGGTGGTCGACTGTTGCTTCCTGGGCGCTCTATAGGTAGTGTTTAAGGTGTGAGCGCCCTGACTTAGTGTAGAAACCCTGATGCTGCCGGGGCAGATGGCTCCTCTGATGGTGTTTCCTTGCCTTACCTTACTAGGCTCATTTGGACTCAGTCGAATTTAAATTTTTACTGATGTGTGTGTGTGTGTGTGTGTGTGTGTGTGTGTGTGTGTGTGTGTGTGTGTGTGTGTGTGTGTGTGTGTGTGTGTGTGTGTGTGTGTGTGTCTGCATATGTAAGTTAATGTTTTTAAACTGTTATGGAAATTTGGGGTCTTTTTGTAAAGCACTTTGCTTGAAAAGCGCTTTATAAATAAAATCAAATTGATTGATTGCTGTCCTCTGATTGGTCAGCTTCAGCCATGTTCCTACAATATTTAGATTTTTAAATCCCTTATTCTTACAAATGTCTGCAAATTTTTGCATCTGCATTACTGAAACTTTAGTATTTATTTTTTCAAAACACGATAAAAGATTTAAAAGTTGAAAAAAAAGTGATTTTATGTTTAAGAATGAAAATAATGTATGTTGTTTTGCCAGGGAACATGAAATTTCACAGCTCCATACAAATTCCAGACTTTTCCCAAGTCACATTTTTAAGAGCATAAACTCAAGTCTACATTTTGTTTATAAAAAAAATGCTGTACATTTTTTCTTAGCACTTAAAGCTTCTTTCCGGAGTATTTCTCTTATCCAATGGCACCATCTAGTGGCTGAGATGCGTATCACACAAAACCACTTTTCCTCTGTTTTTTTTAAGATGGCGACTTCACGTTTCTGTTTATAAATGTGCTTCTGTAGCTGACAAACAGCTAAAACACGTTTTACAAGTATTATACTCATGTCATGCTGTGTTTTCATATATTTATATTTTAGAGACTTTCTTGTTTGTGAAAAGTTCATCAACTCTGCATCAGCCGAGGTATTCCTTAAATGTGACGCAAGTAAGCGGTAGTCTAACGCTATTGGTTAGTTCTGGTTGACGCTCAGTTTCCTACTGCACGGAGCTCTGCAGGGCAGGAGGCGTGTTTAGCAAAAAAAAAGACGTATTGCTTATATTATATCACAGTACATGATAAGATAATCACTTTTACGGATTTCTGACAAATCATACACAATTTCTGAAAGGAGAAAACACCGGAAAGCAGCTTTAATAAATATTCATCACCTGCACCTCTCACTCCCTGAATGTAAATTGAGAGTGCTAATTTTTATGTTTCTAGGGTATTTTATGTAGTACATAATACAAGTTGCAATGACTTCAGTTCTAGTTTCAGAGTATATTTTAGGCTTACATTCAACTGAGGTCTATAGAAGCCTGAATGTGAATTCTCTACCCTCTGAGTATTTGTGAGGAAACTACGAGCTACAGCAGTGAGACACATTGGGTGGAAGAAAACAATAACGACGTTTTGATCCAGGGTTTCCCTTACATAGGCGTAGCCGTGGCGGCCTGCCACGGCTGAAATCCCACCGCCATGCCTACAAGATCCCAAGTTTTTTTTTTTGGCGCCGTTTCCCGAAGAAGCAGCGGGAACTACTATGTTGTCGCTTGTGATCACAGCCGGCGGGCAGCAAGGAGCAGGCAGGGCAAGGTGAAGTTACAGCATAAGTTACTGAGTTTAAAATTAGAAAGGTAGCAGTGGATATACCGTAAATCCTCTAATACAGGCCCGGGCCTGTATTTGACTCAAGCTCATCAAGCTCCGGGCCTTTATTGGAAGGAGGGCCAGTATTAGAGGCAGGCCTCTATTTCTATTTGGACAAAATGAACTAATGGTTCGCTGGAGTTTTTGACAATTAAAATTGCGCCCACATTTTCAAAGTTAAACACATTTCTTTTAACAACGGTAGTTTCTGCTTCAGCCCTCTCCCCCCTCCCCCTGCGCAGCGGCCACAAACTCACTGATGTGCCTATAGCCTCTCGGAGTTCCTGCTGCTCTAAACATTAAAATAATTATTATATTTTATGTTCCTCACTTCTGATTACCTTCAATGTTGTCTGTTTGTTGCAACCAGCAGGTACAAAAACTAACTTGTTTTTATTTGACTATTTTTCTGTCCTGTCTGTTTATTATCTTCCTCCATCTCCTCTCAATCCTAAAGAAAAACTGCTACCTGGGTTCATATATATTCACCTTATGAGTTACCTTTGAACTGCAGTTCTAAAAGATCTACCGACCGCAAAAACAGCGGAGTGCTCGCTGCTTGCCGGCCGCATCAGTGATCGGTGCGCCCCGCTCCACAGCGAAACGCATCAGGCGCAAATAAAAGACAGAAAACATCAAAAGAAATGAACCGACATGAACGATCGCGTGTTAAATAATTTGGCAACACCTGATTGTTACTGTGGCCGTGCTCAGGAGGCAGATTACCGACCGCAAAAACAGCGGAGTGCTCGCTGCTTGCCGGCCGCATCAGTGATCAGTGCGTCGGAGGACAAGGTGATGTGCCCCGCTCCACAGCAGCGAAACACATCAGGCGCAAATAAAAGACAGAAAACATCAAAGGAAATGAACAGACATGAACGATCGTGTGTCAGTACCGACGCTCTGGCACAGCGCGTTGCCCCCCCGAGCGCAGGAGCTTGTCACCTGCTGACAGCAGGCTGCTGTCTTTTCCGAGGACTGCATCTTGCCAGTCATTATCACGTGACAGCGACTAGTCGACGACAGGCATAAAAAGTCACTATAGTGAAGTCGACTAGTTCATACAACCCCTATTGCCCCCCAGTGTTCTGCAGCGCACGTTCTCTATGAACTTGAGATCAAATTTTCGTCTCCGCACGGTTAAAGTTACCCGGTCTATCACTCGCAAATCAAAAGTGAGACGATGACACAACCGCCCCCGTACTTGCTTGTTACCACATTCCACGCGGCCACAATAAGAGACCGGCCATTATTCACCTCCGCCGACTCCGACCAAAATTGGAGACCCGGCCTTTAATTGAATACCGGCCTGTATTAGAGGATTTACGGTAATGCTTTTTGGTTTACATGTTTCAATAGCATTAAGATAAATGAGTGTTGACGATCTTGACAGGGTTTCCTCCAGTGATTATTAGGCCAGGTTTCCCTCCCCCCACCAGGCTAAGCATCACTTATTCATGTAAAATTTATTTATTTTTTCATGTCTGACTTTAACCGCATCTAATACTGTATTACGGCGTGAGCGCAACAGCGACAACTTAAGATCGATGTGTGAGCAGCCTGAGAGGTCGGGGGTTTCATCTGAACCCTTAAAACCTCCAGCAGGCTACGCTGCACTATTGGCGTAACAACTTAGAATCAGAATCAGAATGAATTTTATTGCCAGCGCTCTTTTCAGAGTGTAGGAACTTGACTCCATAGTACAACCTGACCAAGGTTACACACACACACACATATAGACAAGACAGATACTGGCAGACCATGGGAGAAGCCATGACGGCGCTCCTTTGTAGATGAGTAAGGGAATACATGAGGGAAGTTCAGGGAGGGAGAAAAAAGGCATTAACAGGGTTACACCAGCAGGGTGTAGCACTCCAATGCAAAAAAAAAAAACACCCGACATGTAAGCAACAAACGTCACAGTTCACAACATGAGACCCGGTAGGTAGGGGGAGGGGAATCTTATCAATCGCGTTGAATGACCAATTAATTAAGTCCATGTTGAAAAATGCTGAAAAAAGGTGATTGCAGAGGAAATGCAGAGAAGCGCTCTGTAGGCAGACGGGACAAAAAGAGCCTTGGGAAAAAACAGATAAGGGAGGAAAAGGCAGAAGCGTCTGCTCTCTGTGAGCGCTGGAAGAAGAAAACCCGTGACATGTCTCGGAGAAAGCGTAAAAACATGTTGGACGCAATTTTCTAGGGGTGGCCATGGCCACCCCTTGGGGGCGCCCTTGGTCTCACAAAAGTTACCCCAAAATTCCACTACCTCCGCTCCGCCCCCGCAGCCGCTCGCTTCCGAACTCAATTTTTTACTGGTACCTGCTCTACAACGGCTCCGCTCCGGTGCGGAGACCTGGGGTGCGCAAACAGGTTTTCGAGATCTTGCGATACAGTCCGAGCACTAAACGCGGAAGTTAGATCCAAATGGAACGGCACGGCCGCAGTAGTGGAACAGCTCTGATTGACTACAACGGGACCGATTTCGCTGCGGAGTTCGTGCCGGAGTGGAGCAGAGGTAGTGGAATTTTGGGGTTACAAGTAACAGCGCGGCTGCCCTGTGTCTGTGTCCCCAGCTGCAGCTGTATTCTGCTCAGCAGACCAGCCTCAGCAGCTGAGTGAAGTTGGCCCTTCCCCCACATCAGAAATCCAGCATAAATGTAGCAATAACCACTCTATATGCATGGATTTCAGCTCCGCTCAGCGCTTCCCTGCCGCAGGAACATGCAGCACATTGACGCTACTACGAGCGATGACGTTGCTACCTTTAAACATATCTGTAATATTAACACATTTCTTATCTGTGTGCTTCCTGAAAAAGTCATCTGTTTGGGCAGATAAAATAAATTACATTTTTTAACAGGTCTTATCTGAAAACGTTGAAGACAAATGTTTTAAAGTCAGTGTGTCAGGATTATTGCCTCTGCTCCCTGGTTCCTAATAACGGGTCACAGTCCCACCCTTCACCCCAACAGCATAACAGTTTAAGCCCATCTAAATGTTTATGAGCATCTCTGCTGATGCTCAAGAGCAGAACTGGGTTATTTACATTAATTCTGTAGGCTCGTGAAAACTCATAACACTGCAGTAATATGGAAAACCATTATTGCATTTAAGTAGGTGGCCTTTGCCAAAATATAAATTTAAAGACACTAAGATGGAGGTATGATAACTCCTAATAAATTCAACAAACACATTTCTTTATTTCTATTGTAATATTGTAGAATAGACTGTACACTCTCTAAGAGTCCATTCTGTAGAGAAAGAAAGTCATAAATCTGAATGATGCACAGATCTGCATCGATAAATTATATACACTATAGTGATTATAAATAACGTAAAAAAATGATACCAGTCTGGGGGTTATTGTTTTAGTGGACTAAATCTGGGGCTGCAGAGACTTTGTCCCATAGCCCTAGAATAAATGATGTTGGAATGAAACTCTCTCCAGTAGCTCAGAGTACACATCTGACATAAAAATCATTTGTTAGAGACTAACACTTTGTTTACATTTTTGTAAAACTAAAAACAAAAATCTTTGTTGACTAAAACATTTTTGAGATTTAGTCGACTAAAACTAAGACTAAAATGCTTTTTCCTCATCAAGACTAAGACTAAAACTAAGATGCCCACTAGGGCTGCACAATATTAGGAAAAACCTGCAATATGCAATAACAGGGATTATTATTGCAATGATGATATTACAAAAATAATCAAAAAGAAATAAAAAAAATGACAAAAAATATCATAAAAATGAGGAAAGCAAACGATGTGAAGGAAGGGAAAAAGATAATGAACAAGAAAAGGCAATCAGTGGATCCCGGGAAAATCAGAATCAGCAGAAAGAGCAGAACTAAGCTAGCTCAGGTGTTTGCTAACCATCAAAATCAAGTGCCGTCAGCCTTGGGGGCGGGACTCTAACCTATGAGAACCCACCTGATTGGCCAAATGGGGGAAGAGCTCTATTTAATTTGTTTCAAAAAGCATCGTGCTAACGTTTGATTGACAGAATGCATTATGTGTAGCAAACATTTGAGCTGACCATTCACTGCGATATTTATCTGTTCTTTGCGAATTGCGCGTGCTGATATCGCGATAACGATATATTTGCGATATATTGTGCAGCCCTAGTGCCCACCAAAAACAACACTAGTTTTGATGCATCATTTATTTATCGATTGCAAATATTATTAGAGAAAGAAAAGCTTGTTTGTAAAACTTAAGAAAATTTTAGGAAGTTCACAAGTTGATATGAATTGAGCCTTAGGATGTAGGATTCGTTTCTTTTTTTTTTAACTGCAGGGTTTGACAAAGGGCGAAAATAATGACGATTTGCAAATAGGAGAGTGATAAAGGTGTTTCAATTATAAGTAGGATAAATGAAAACCAGCAATCATACTTGCAAAGCTCTGGGTCCCAGTTCATAGTGTGAATATTAAACAGCATGGTTCTGCTGGCGTTGGTCACGTCTGTGCAGTGGACTCCACCTGACTTGCCTCCAGTCAAACACTGTTATGGAAACAACAAAAATAAACAAACATCAGTCTGAATTTTATATTTACCCTATTTTCCGGACTATAAGTAGTAATAATAAGTAGTAAAAATAATAAAATGTCCCCCCCAAAATGCGACTTATAGTCCAGTGCGACTTATATATGTTTTTTTCTTCTTCATTATGCATTTTATGGCTGGTGCGACTTATACTCCGGAAAATACGGTAGATCTGATAACAAATCGAGGCAGCAAATGTACCCAAATGAGCCAGGAATCAACAGTGCCAAACATGGCACGGTGAGACACGACGGCTTCGTGGACCTCGCTCACGTTATCCATCAACCAGCGGAGTTTCACGGCGCTGAAGTACGTGCTGATAGGGAGCCCCGTTTTATGCTGCAGGGTGACAAAAAAACAGCACAAAATGTCCCTTAAATATGGATGAGATATTATAATAAACAAAATCAGGTTGATTACAGGGAATTCTGAAGCTTTACCCTTAAATGGTTCTTGTTTCTTCCAGGGGTTTTATTAATGAGACGCTCAACTGTTGACTGAGTCCGAAGGTCAAGCCACACTGAGGGGAATCACATCAAAATGTCACTTACCTATGATAATGTTGCCTCTCTGTAAAAATTGTGCTACATGGCATCATCTTATACCAAGTTTTAAATATCAGCCTTACTCATATTTACTCAGATTCGCCTGTTTGAGGATGTAGAAGTCAGCCAGAGGAGACGCTGGCAGAAGATGGTAGGATTTGGAGTCTTATTTCCTGATATTCTGACATCCCACCTCGGATTGGATAATATAACCACGACTCTACCATCAACTCAGTTTGCTCTGCAACTTTGATGTTTTATCTCCACAAATATCACAAAGCCTGGAGGAGTTCTGCTGTGTGGTGGAGTTGCTAATGCTAACGGTTACCTTCTATTTGCCAAGACGTTCTTTGCTAAAACAACAAAAGCCTTCCCCGTCGCGAGTCAGGGTGGGTGAGTCCATGAATGTTAATGGGATACTTTGCAATTTTTCCATATTTTTAAATCATTTTCTTTAATCGGTATGTGCTAAAATGACATTTTAAGGCCACCCAGCCCTCATCACCCCCTGTGGCCAGAATATTCCACTTGCAACTTCAGACTGGCGGACCGCTCTGTTGGGACTTGGAAAAAGTGGAGCTGACACACCTGTCATGTTTTAGATCATGAACACAGCTGATTTGTTTGGTTTGGTGATGAATCACTCCTGTAGACACTAAGGAAGGCTGAGGAGACATTTCAGCTGTTAGATTAAGGTGTTAAAATGACGCACGCACAGCGAGGAGATACGTTTTGATTTCTGTTCTACAATTGGACACCAGGGGGCGCTAACAGCAAGCCAAAACAACCTAGTCTCCCTTTAAGAGACAACGTAGAGCTGTCAGACTTTTCAAGTCCCAGAGTTTCTCCATCTGTTTTCTATCAGAAGCAAATGCAGGAGATAGGTGTAGGAGACTATTTTCTTGTTCAGCCTCAGGGTTTGCCCCAGCGCTTTATAAGCCTGACGGGCTGCCAGGCTTTGCTTGGTCACCGCCAGGCTAAGCGCCCCCCGCCCCAGCCCTACCTTCTCCACTGCCACGGACGACGCATGGCATCAAAATGAACCGTGCGCCCCTCCTCCGCTGTCACTGATGAGAAACGGTACCGGAACAATCGCCGCCCCCCCCCCCCCCCCCCCAAGACCAATCCATGCACGCACTTATCCCCCAGCTCTCACAGCCCGCCAGTTTTCGGGGGGAAACCCTGCAGCCTACATGATGTTAGATCAGCCGATGTACCTAATTAGTAAAGGCATGGTTTGTTTCCATAGAGATTTGGAAATGCTTTTGTAAAAACCAGCAAAGACTGTATTCTACAAACGCAACTGAAGAAAATGAGGCTCATTCCAAACATTTAGGTAACAAACTTATCAAGAGCGTTTTAGAACCGTACCGATGGCGTTGTAGAGCGGCTCGCCCGTCTCTTTGTCCCAAACAAGCGTGGTCTCTCGTTGGTTGGTCACTCCAATAGCTACACGAAATTAAGACACAGTTGACAAAGATTTCAGACAATTACCTCCTACGTGGATTTTAACAACAGAAAACAAACCTTTTCTAAATATTTTTGATTATGTTCAGTCTGCAGGATAGGTGCTAGTACATATTATGATTAAGGAGTGGCAGGGTGCATCTACCTTTAATGTTGGAGATGTCTATGTTGTGCTGCATCAGTTTTTCACAAGTCCGCTCCATGCACTCGTACACCGACTGAAGGATCTCTTTGGGATCTTCTTCCACCCATCTGAACGGGAGGTCAAACAAAATGCCAATAAAGAAAATGAAATAAATAAATAAAAGATAAAAGAACTAAACATGAAAACAAACAGATCATGTTTTCCTCTCACCCTTCTTTTGGGAAGCTTTGCTTTATTTCTACTTGATGGTGGCTGAGCAGCTCTGCTGTTTTGGAATTAAACACCTAGAAAACATCAAAAAGGATCAAAGTTGAGGGTATAGCATTCATGGAAGCCAGCCTTGCTTTTTGTTTGTTTGTTTGTTTGTTTACGTGACTCATGTCTATAAAACGTTTGGCTCCAAACAAGCACCACACCCAGAACACAGTCCGAAACGCCTTCAGAAGGAATTTATGACTTCTCACATAAACACAAGCGGTTAGTAAAACACGTTTGAAGGAAATAACTTAAAATGTTTCCTGTTTTCATTTTCACAAGTCAACCTTAACATGTTGTAGGAGCCATTATTGTTTTGGTTTAGATTATATTATGGTCTAAGTTTATTTTGATAATGTTTTATGTACATTTCAGTTTATTGCACTATGGTTTGTATTTCCTTTGACCACTGGTGGCACTGTGGAGCCTATAAAGGTGTTGAGGTGGCAGTGCACTGGCATTTTCTGGGTGACGGGAGGTCACACGGTTTTTACCGCTTCGTTTGGTTTCATATGCCACGTCTAATTTGCAGTTATAATTTTCATCATTTACATAAACCTGGACAAGAAATAGCCATTCTGGACCCAGCTTGTGATCGTCAACATATTCAATAAATGGGACAATAAACCCAAACCCGCTTTCTGCCTGGACAATTTTGTTGAAGCGAGTCATTGCCTCCACCCGCACCCAAGGGTGACTAAAAGTGGGACTTGATAGTCACTACACATGTAATCAGAGTACACTTTCAGAAAATTGTGCAATTAAACACATTTGTATTAACTTGCTCACAAAAATAAACTATTTATAAAACTTGTTAAAAAGTTTGGTCACAATTGACTTTGAAAATTTGCTTTAATTTTGTAAATATTACAAACTTCCACCTTTTCTGAAAGCTGAACCTGTATTTCTCTAAAACTGGCAGAGTGAGGGGATAACACAATGATCATATACAACTCGCTAAAAATAAAACATAGCTCGGTGTGGTGTCCAACTATATTCTGCTATATGGTTCCATTTCTGAGGATCAGTACTCCTGAACAAACACTGATGGGGCATCCGGCCACTCTTCTCTGCTTTTACAGCAACTGCTGCCTGTCTATTTTTTTCTTCTATTAAGTAGAAAATAAGAAGTATGTGTTTCAAATTAATGTCTTGAAATAGGGCTGGGCAATATATCCTAAAATAAATATCACAATACATTGAGGAGCTCACCTCAATAACGATAAATGGACGATAATTACGTGAATACGCAAAAACAAACATTGACCAATAGATGGGGCTGTCACACATATCACATTGAGACACGTTGTTACGTAGGGCCGCAACAATGAATCGATAAAATCGATGAATAAATGCGTTGGCAACCCAGATGAGAACGAGAGATATATGTCGCAAGTGCGATGAAAAACACTCAGTGTGCGATAAACCATTTTTAGATGTAGCACTCGAGCAAAATCTTTTCAAGTTCCTTTTTTCCCCCAGAACTTTATTGAACAAAGGTAAGTTGCTTGTTATTGTGTAAGAATGTGCTAATCTAGGTGCTGTGGAGGAAACCGGAGAAACCAGCAAAGACACAAAGGCAGAAACAATCCAAAGTTTGGGATGAAAAGTGTAACTACGGGCAGATTAGCTAATGCTAACGGGTTGCAGGCTTGCGATTAAGTGGGGTTCCGAAAAAACTTGATGGTGAGAATATCTAAACACTACAAGCAGAAGAAAAGTCCCCACCATCCTGTTTATTCTTAGCTGACTGCAGCGCCCTGGAGCAGAACTGCTGCAGTCAGGTTGCTGCTTCGAGTCTGCTCTGCAGCTGTAGGATTATGGCAAGCCACTGTAGCATGTAATTCACAAACGCTGTGAACATAATTTAAACTGGATTATTGCTAACCCGTACATGATAGACATGTCACCATTACATTTTTAGCAGTGGAAATTAAATGTTATTAGCATTTCCTGTAGCTTAGTACTGAATCTGTTAATGAAATACATCAAATGTTACTGATTATAGTTTAACTATCAATATATTTAGGTGACAGCTTGTTGTTTTGCACGATGTTGAATGGTTTTCTAATCATATTCAGTTGTTAAATAAAGTACATGGAGAGAAAAAAATGTTTCCCTAGAAGATTTTTAATTTTCCTGTTATATCCGATTAATTGAGTCGAGACCCCATCCGATTCATCAATGATCCAAATAATTGTTTGTTGCAACCCTATTGTCATGTGACTTGAGGCGGTACAACTTCTTAAAGGGACATGAACGTCGCCAAACTACACACATCTATCCATCTGTTACGGCTGCCAGCCTGGCCAGTGGGATGCAGGAGCCAAGATCACCCATCCCTGGTGATCAAGCCTGACACCGCCCCTCCTCCTCCTCCTCCTCCTCTCTTCCAGGCTGCTGAGGAGCACAGCTGAGCTGAATCCTGCTGATGACCAACACCTGGATAAAAAGACTGTGCCTTCAGCAGTCTGGGAGGCAGCAGTGCATGGGGTTCTGCTGTCCTCCAGGCCTCATTTTGTTTTCAACCCCTTCGCTTGTGATGAGTTTTAACTTTTAAAGTTGTAACTCTGAGTTGAGGAGTTTAAAGGAAAAAACTCTGAGTGATCCATGGGGATCTTTGGTTGATGTCAACTTAGTTGACTCTGTTTTAAGGTTAACTCTGCTTTAGTTTTTAGACTTTTATCAACTTCGTTGTGTTTTTAAAACACCTTCAGTTTAGGTAAAACTTTTAATAAAGTTTTAACCCGGTGTTTTATATAGTTGATATTTTGTCTTTTAACCGTTAACCTTATAGTGACATTTTCGTTTTGCATCATCTTTATAATGCTCGCCATCTGTTTGCACTTGTTTTTAGAACCTTTTATAACAATTAAACCCATTTTAACTCCACTGTCGCATTTCTTATGTTACCCCCTCAGAGACAGGAGGTAGATGTTACATTTTAACACCTCCTGTCAGGGACGTAACACCATCCATCCATGTTTGGCCACTAATCAAGTGTCGGGTCGCAGGGGGCAGTAAGCCTAAGCAAGGAGGTCCAGACTTCCCTTTCCCAAGCCACTTGGGTAGCTCCTCCAGGGGAATCCTGAGGCGCTCCCTGGCCAGCTGAGAGACATAGTCCCTCCACCATGTCCTGGGCCTTCCTTTAGGTCTTTTCCCAGTTGGATGTGCCCACTACCCAAAGCTCATGACCATAGGTGAGGGTATAAAGTAGATCTACCGGTAAATTGAGAGCTTTGCATTCCAGCTCAGCTCTCTCTTCACCACGACAGACCGGTACAACGCCCGCATCGCTGCAGATGCAGCACCAATTCGCCTATCGATCTCACAATCCATCATTCCCTCACTCATGAACAAGACCCTGAGACACAAACTCCTCCACTTGAGGCAGGACCTCATCCCTGACCCGGAGAACGCATTCTACCCTTTTCTGACTGAGACCAAGGTCTCAGGTTTAGAGGAGCTGATTCTCATCCCAGCTGCTTCACACTCGGCTGTGAACCGGTCCAGAGAGAGACCATGTTCTGATGACGCCAACAGGACCACGTCATCTGCAAAAAGCAGAGACTCAATCCTTAGGCCACAAAAACAGATCATCTCGGCTGCATCTATAAATCCTGTCCATAAAACTTATGAACAGAATCTGTGACAAAGGGCAGCCTTGGTGGAGTCCAACTTACTGCCGGAAATATAGATCAAGCTCTGACACCGGTCACACAGGGACCTAACAGCCCGTATCGGAGAACCTGGTACCCCATACTCCTGAAAGGGCCTCCCAAGGGGTCGAATGCCTTCTCCATATCCACAAACACATGTAGATTGGTTGAGCAAACTCCCACACACCCTACAGAACCACCTTAAGGGTATAGAGCTGGTCCAGTATTCCACGGCCAGGACAAAAACCTTATTGCTCCTCCTGAATCTGAGGTTCGACAATCCGGTCGGCCGCCTCGACAAGGAAGCACGGAAATTGGCCCACGTGGACTCGATGTGCCCCGCCTCTCCCGGAACATTTAGGAAGTTCTGTCGGATGTGGGAATTGAAACTTCTTCTGACGGGAGACTACGCCAGACATTCTCAGCAGACCCTCAATACATTTGGACCTGCCAGGTCGAACCGGCTTCATCCCCCACCATTGGAGCCAACTCACCAGTTGCCAGTTGACAGCTCCGTCCCTCTCTTCACCCGAGTGTCCAAGACATGTGGCCACAGACCAGAAGAGACAAGAAGAAATTTGATCATCGAGCTGCAGCTTAAGGTATCCTGATGCCAAGAGCACATACGGACACATTTGTCTGAACATGGTGTTCTATAAGGGCAATCCATGACTAGCACAGAAGTCTAAAACAAAACACCGCTCGAATCATCAGAGGGGCCGTTCCTCCCAACCACACCTCTCCAGGTCTCACTGTCGTTGCCCACGTGAGCGTTAAAGTCCCCCAGCAGAACGAGGAAGTCTCCAGAAAGAGCGCTCTCCAGTACCCCCTCCAAGGAATCCAAAAAGGGTGGGTAGGCTGAACTGTAGTTTGGTGCTCAAGCGCATTTGGCCCCTCCCACAAGTGGTGAGCTCATGGGAAGGGGGACCAATGTTTCCACTTCAGGCTATGCCCAGTCGGGGCTCCATGGGTGAAAGCCCGGCCACCAGGCACTTGCCGATGTGCCCCATCTCCAGGCCTGGCTCTACAGGGAGAATCTATTCATTTTCATTTTATTATCAAGTTTATTTACACAAAAAATTATATTGGTTAGAGTCAGAAATTTCCATAACAACGCATTTTTGATATATCGCCCAGCCCAAGGCCCTGTCCACACGTAGCCGGGGATCTGCCAAAACGTAGATATTTTTCTACGTTTTGGCCTGTCATCCACACGAAAACAGAGTTTTTTCACACGAAAACGGATCTTTTTAAACATTCCGGCCAAAGTGAAGATCTGCGTTTTCTCCGTTTTGGGTGTCTGCGTGTGGACAGACAAAACCGGAGTTTTAAGGTCCGCAACGTCACTTTCCGCGACAAAAAAATGCTAACATCACGCGTGCGACCTGTGTTTACACTAGCCGGCAGCATGGATGCCCTCAGAGCTGCGCTCGCTTTATCAATTGTCCAAGCGCTTTCTGCTTGTTTGTTTTTGCAAGCGGAATTACTGCTCCTTGCGGAAGACCACAGACGAAGGACGAGGTTAAGAACGGGGGAAGTACTGCCGCCTACAGGTCTGGCATGTCATTAACAACGTATTTATCCGGGTACGTGTGGACAGAGTTTTTTTCTAAACGAGGTGGTGTGGATGCAAGTTTTTGGAGGGGCGGATATTCGTTTAAAAAAAAAATCTGGCTACGTGTGGACTAGGCCAAAGTCTGGGATATAATTTTCCAACTCAAAGAGAATCCTGATTATACCTTGTTTCCATGATTGAGCAATCACGTCCTGTAGTTGGAACTGGAGTCCATTTCAGATGGTCAAGTATTCATAAACTCATAAAGTATACCGTAAATCCTCTAATACAGGCCCGGGCCTGTATTTGACTCAAGCTCATCAAGCTCCAGGCCTTTATTGGAAGGAGGGCCAGTATTAGAGGCAGGCCTCTATTTCTATTTGAGCAAAATGAACTAATGGTTCGCTGGAGTTTTTGACAATTAAAATTGCAACCACATTTTCAAAGTTAAACACATTTCTTTTAACAACGGTAGTTTCTGCTTCAGCCCTCTCCCCCCTCCCCCTGCGCAGCGGCCACAAACTCACTGATGCGCCTGCAGCCTCTCAGAGTTCCTGCTGCTCTAAACATTAAAATAATTATTTCATTTTCTGTTCCTCACTTCTGATTACCTTCAATGGTGTCTGTTTGTTGCAACCACCAGGTACAAAAACTAACTTGTTTTTATTTGACTATTTTTCTGTCCTGTCTGTTTATTATCTTCCTGCATCTCCTCTCAATCCTAAAGAGAAACTGCTACCTGGGTTCATATATATTCACCTTATGAGTTACCTTTGAACTGCAGTTCTAAAAGATCTACCGACCAGAAAACAGCGGAGTGCTCGCTGCTTGGTGGCCGCATCAGTGATCAGTGCGTCACCGGATGACAAGGTGATGCGCCACGATCCACAGCGAAACGCATTAGGCACAAATAAAAGACAGAAAACATTAAAGGAAATGAACCGACATGAACGATCGCGTGTTAAATTAGTTTTTGAGGTGGCGACACCTGATTGTTACTGTGGCCGTGCTCAGGAGGCAGATCTACCGACCACAAAAACAGCGGAGTGCTCCCTGCTTGGCGGCCGCATCAGTGATCGGTGCGTCGGAGGACAAGGTGATGTGCCCTGCTCCACAGCAGCGAAACACATCAGGCGCAAATAAAAGACAGAAAACATTAAAGGAAATGAACCGACATGAACGATCGCATGTCAGTACCGACGCTCTGGCACAGCGCGTTGCCCCCCCCCCTCGAGGAGCTTGTCACCTGCTGACGGCAGGCTGCTGTCTTTTCCGTGGACTGCATCTTGCCAGTCATTATCACGTGACAGCGACTAGTCGACGACAGGCATAAAAAGTCACTATAGTGAAGTTGACTAGTTCATACAACCCCTGCTACTGCTCCCCAGAGTGTTCTGCAGCATAATCAGCACGTTCTCTTTGAACTTGATATCAAATTTTCGCCTCCTCTTCGTCTCCACACGGTTAAAGTTACCTTCGCGGTCTATCACTGGCAAATCAAAAGTGAGACGATGACACAACCGCCCCCCGTACTTGCTTGTTACCACATTCCACCCGGCCACAATAAGAGACCGGCCATTATTCACCTCCGCCGACACCGGCCAAAATTGGGGGACCCGGCCTTTAATTGAATACCGGCCTGTATTAGAGGATTTACGGTAAATAAACTCCACAAAATACAGAAGAAATGGCTGAATTTTATGCTGTTGTTTTGTCCTGGTGCACGCAGGGAGTCCAATATGAAGTAAATTGGACTCAAATAATAAAGTTTATTGTACAAGTGCTACTGAAATGGCAATTTATGAAAACTTTTTTAATTCACGGAAGCCTTTCTAGACTAAGGCATGTGAACATCTGTGTTTATATAAAAAGTCGTTGCATATTTCTTAGTTTGTCTCTTCTAAGCACCTTGAGTACGTGTGTGAAAAAATAAAATGACTTTATTTTACTGAATGTATAGTTTGGACAAAACAATGAAATCTCATGAAATCTTCAGCGTTCAATAAGATTTAATAAAAGCGGTTCGATCCAGTCACAAGGGCAGGTTTAATTTTGGAGGCAGAAGCAGGTCTGGACGGACAGTCTGGTCAAGGACACAACCATCTATAACCCGATTATGAGCCAGACATTAAATTTAACACTCGAGCTCGCCCAGAAGGAGGTCAACTTGTGTGGTTAGTCTTACCAAGAACCGAGTGGAGCTCGTCCCCTGGTCTATGGCAGCAACCAGTGGGCCTAGCGTGATCCGGTGAGAGGACCCGGCCATGGTGCCGTTCATGGACAGTCCCCCGGCGTTTCGGCTCGCACCAACCGGGCAGATTACCGATTATCAGCGCAGGTAGCAAAGCGGTTCGTGGTCAGCCAAAGACGGGGAGGGATGCGACCAGTCGCGAGGTTCAGACGTAACATTTGTGTTGTCTCTTAAAGATGACGTTACAGCCGTTAACCTTTCAGAAACATTCAAAATAAACATTTAATTTACATTTTAAGGTAAACATTCCTTCCACATATTGTTGTACACGAGTAAATATTAACCCTTAACTGCTAATAAAGGAAAAATAGAAATTCCCATATAGGGAGTCGAACCCGACCGCCCGGGTGGTGAAAACCAGGACAGCTAGACCAAATGCGACGCTGCTACACATGACATAAAACAGAGTTTTTATCAACTTTATTTTTATTTGGTTATGTCGTTTTTATTGCTTTCAATGTTTTCTATGAACATTTTCACATGTTTTTAAATTAATTTAGTTTACTTTGGCTCTTTAGGTAAATTTATGAATTGGCCAAAAGATGGTCAAATTACTTCCTCTTCCAAGATTTATCTTCCTGTTCGTTCAATGTAAAATAAATAATTGTATTCAAAACAAATTAAAAACACTTAAGAATACGAATCGTTAACTCATTTTTTGTTTGCCTTTTTTAATTTGATTTGGTGATAGGCTTGGCGACGAAAAGTGACATCATCAGTAAGGGACACTGTTGTCAGTCTTGCTATGCGGGGACCGGTTTGATATTAAATTTGACTTGTTGTAACCTTTTCCCCTTCTAATTTTGACTGCGTAACTTTAAAATGTAAGTATTGAGACACGCGTTATGATTTTATAGCTATGTAGTGTGACGATTAATTAATTATTCAGAAAGCGAGTCAGGTTACCCGCTTATGCTAAGGCCAATCTGGTGTTTTTGATGTTGTGTTTGTTATTTTTCTGTTTTTGCAGGGCTGATTACTGGAAGTCACAACCAAGGAAATTCTGCCAATACTGCAAGTGCTGGATAGCGGATAACAAGCCCGTGAGTGCAAGAAATTAGACATTTTATTCACATTTCCGTTGTGCTGTTATGTTCTAATATGCTTTTTATCTGCAGAGCGTCGAGTTCCACGAAAGAGGAAAGAATCACAAAGAAAATGTGGCTGCCAAGATTGCAGAGGTATTTAACTATTGTTAGCTGTTAGAAATTAAATATACAGAAGATGATCAAGTATTATTCCTTCACCCTAAGGCAGCTTTTTTTTTGTTTTGCCAGTTTGTCATAAAATGATCACTTTCGCTAGATAAACTCGTTTTATTTAAAAGTTTCAACTAATGTTGAGCTGATTTTAGGCAGGAAATAAAGTCAGATCTTTGAATGTGTCACAAAATTCCAGTTTAAATGTCACTAAAATGAATTAACTTGGGTTTTATTAAGTTCAGGTACTCTTCAAAGTGGATGTTGGGTATCAGAAGCCATCAGCTAGATTGGGGTGTCCAAACTGCAGTTTGTGTATGATGGTATGCAGGACATCCTCGGGTATCAGGAAACCTCTGGCATCAGTAGAAGAAAAATTGTCAGGTTTACTTGAAAAGTATCATCAAATATCTGACTAAACATCAGAAAAACAGCAATAGGAGATCAGAAGAGTCAAAAATCCATCCAGAATGTAACTTATGGCTACATTTTTACGTTTATACTAATAACTTACAATGAGCCTTTAGAGTTACTGTGAATATATGTTTATGTATTTGGCTGAAGCTACCGCCCAAAACGACTTACAAATGATCACATGGTCAGATTTCTGGATAATTTCATGATCTTAAAAAAGGCCTCATTAAAGCGTGACACTTTTGGCATCGTCCCACCACTGGCTGGTGAGATAAGCTCACGTCATTACCACAGTGACCCTAAAGCTGTCTTCTGATTGGCTCCCAGCCCCTGCCACTCATTTCACACTATCTTTCTCTGTGCAGATCAAGAAGAAGAGCATTGCAAAGGCAAAGCAGGAGAAGCGCATGTCCAAAGAGTTTGCAGCGATGGAGGAAGCAGCGCAGAAAGCCTACGAGGAGGATGTGAAGAGGATGGAAAGAGAATCTCAAGGTGCCTTTTTGCTGCTCAAAAGGAGGCTTTTATTTTGTCTTTTAAATAGCATTTTAATAAAGTCTTGTTTTGTGTGTGTCAGGAAAGAGTTCACCTGTACGAACAACCCCGCAGCCACAACTTCAAGTGAGAATTCAGCCTCAAGTGAGAATTCAGCCTCAAGGAAAAAGTCAACCTAATAAACAGCAGAAGCAGCGAGGGAAAGCGAGCAGGAAGACCAGAGCTCCAATACGAACACAGGTTTGGGTTGAAGGCCTGACAGACGACGGACACCCGTACTACTACAACACCACAACAGGAGGTGCGGACACTCTCCTGAGGTTTATTTAAGCATTTTCTTCAATGCAGCTGCTTTTTTTTTTTTAGAACATTTTAATCAGTCTGGTTGTTTTTAACAGAGTCTCGGTGGGAAAAACCTACAGATTTCCAGAGTGAAGCTTCAACTTCTGCTCCATTTGAACAGCCAGAGGTAAAATATTTGACTATTTGTGAAGCTTTTCATTGTGTTCTGTCATTTTCACCAATGTTGCTTTTTGTTCTGAAGAGTTCTTCAGGTTCTGCTTGGATGGAAGCCGTCAGTCCTGATGGCTACACGTATTACTACAACTCGGAGACAGGAGGTAGATGTTATCGCATCTGCCGATGTTTACGGAGAACGTTGTTAGATTTATTCTTGCTTGCATTTCAGAGTCCAGCTGGGAGAAGCCAGCAGATTTACCTTCTGATGAGGCGTCTGGAGCCAACAAAGAGGAGGAGAGCCAAGAGGAGCCAGGCGCTCCTGAGCCGGAGCCGCTTTCTGGAGGAGAGGAGAGCTCCGGCGGAGTGCCTCAGGAGGAACAAGCCCCGGAGCAAACCAGTCAGAACCCTCAAGTCACAAAAATCTGCTTCAGGGTGAGCCTAGACCCGATGCTGAGTGACAAGCTACGAGCTGTTAGTTAAATCTGATGGGTCGCAATTGTTCTGTTTGTTTTTAGAAAAGAAAATTTGAAGACGGGCCCTCGGAAAAACAGGGAGAAGAGGATAAACTTGGTGATGATGCTCCAAAGGAGGAAGAGAAAGAGACAAAAATGGAGGAAGAAGTCCAGAAAACGGTAGCCGAACCAGAGAAGACGGAGGAAAAAGTGACACAGGTGCAGCTAAAAATAAGAAAACCAAGACCCGCCAATCCGTACGGAGTATGGGAAAAGATCAAACAGGAAGTGGATCCATAGTGAGTATCAAACACGATTGCTCAACTGTCTTACTGCAAACAGGAAGTGGATTTTATTTTCTCCTCCTCAGTTCAAAAGTGGACCTACAGCTGCCGCAGGTGGAGGAGACCCCAGCTCCGCAGGAACTACCGCCGGAACCGAAGCCCAAGTTTAAGGAACGAGTCATCACCTCGCTCGGGGAGGAGAGCGGACCAGCGTCGTTTAGGAGAAACAAAACTCAGAACGGCAAATCCAGAAGCCTCAGACAGAGAGACGACGACAACTGAGCCGTAAAAACAAATAAACTCTTTCTGATGCCTTTTCACTAACTTTCTGATCTACGTAACATTTTTCTATGTCCAGGTCTGTTTATTGAACTAGTTGTAAATAAAGTTGCGGGACATTTTTGTGCAAAGAATTATTAAAAATTTGAGCTCAATAAACGGCTGTGCTGAAACTGAGAGGTTGTTTTGGGGATTAAAGGTTAAGAGCACAAGAGTTTGGCACACACACACACGCGCGCGCACAGGGGTGTGACATAATTAGTGTGTGTATAAAGCTGATAGGTGCTCCACCGCACCCTGGACCTGGCAATGAACCACAAAAGGCTCAAAAAAACGTAAATAAACCAAACTGAGCTACATTAAGCTAGAAAAGGTAGTTTTTTTTTAATAGATCCAGGATTTTTCTAACGTGAAAGGTTCAAATATTTGAAGAGCTGAAACAAAAATGTTTAAGTCTGGTTTTATTTATTAAATAGTTTATCTCCAGTCTGTTAAATTGCACATTTAAGTTTAAATATGTCCTGATATGCAGCCAAAGAGCGGATGGATGCTCATCAGCTTGTTCACACAGTGGGTGTGACGTGAGTCTCCACCATATCCAGCCGCGTCACACTCAGGCTGTTTTCCGCCCGCTCCAGGACGGCGTCCCGCTCTGAGTGTTCCAGCAGGTCTGAGATCAGCTCCTCAAGCGCCTCGCCTCCTCGCATGAACTCCTGATAAAAAAATAAATAAACGCAAACCCAGTGTCAAATTAGGAACATTTCATTCTCACTGCTTTGTTTCCCACCTTGATGTCTCTGGTGCTGTATCCTGTTCGGTGATCTGTGACACGATCCTGGCTGAAGTTGTAGGTACGAATCCTCTCTGACTGGCTGCGTGTGCCCACCTGTGAGTAGACACCAGGAACTGAGCACCTGACTCACAAGAGTAATTCATATCTGAACAGTCAGATGAATGATTACCTGCTGCTTTCGCGCCGTGTGTCTCTGCTCCGTCTCTTTACCCATAATGCCCTGGTAGAGTCTGGCCCTCAGCATGCGCATGGCGGTCTCTCTATTCTGCAGCTGTGAGCGAGTCTGCTGGCTCTCGGCCGTTATTCCTGTTGGGATAAAAGATACTAAAACAGATGCTGGACTGGGACCTGAGTAGGTGTGATGTGGATCATACCCGTGGGAAGGTGAACTACTCGCACCGCACTGTCCGTCGTGTTGACGCTTTGGCCGCCAGCACCACGAGATCTGAACGTGTCGACGCGCAGATCTTTTGGGTCGATGTGGACGTCAAACTACAAAGGAACAGAAATGATTTTAGTGATGATGGGAAAAAAATGGTGACGATGAGGCTGGAGCGATGTGTAAGTCATCGTGATTATTTTGGTCAATATTCAAATCCCGATTATTTATAATTGGCTGGGGAAAGGGAAGTCTGCTCCCGCGACCTGACTCTGGATAAGCAGACAAAAACGGATGGTAGCTGTAAACACACAGTAATGATTTCTCACCAGAAATGCAAATAAAGGTTCATTAGGTGTGCTAAGCGGCGCCCCAAACACACACAGGAAATAGCACTCTGCAAGGACCGATAGTTTATTCAGTGGCAGGCCCAAAGGGTGCCGGGTCTGATACTGCTTAGAACGTCAACCATTTGGAAAAACACTCATTTACGCTGAAGAAATAGCAATAATAGAATAACATAGGTGCCATTTCTAACACCAGTCACACGTCAGCAGTAGGGCTGCAACTAACGACTATTTTAATAGTCGACTAGTCACCGACTATCGAAACGATTAGTCGACTAATCGGATAATTATTACATTTTTCTTACATTTAGCATGAGATTGCTTTAATTATGTGAAAAATGATAATAAACACAAGAAAGTTGGGTACTTCAATGGAAAATGCATATTTTATTGAACTTTGCTGCTGATAGGCCGATTCTTACTTAAAGTAAATAAAATGCCCTGTCTAACACCAGTTAGGCACAGCGCTCAGTCAGTAGACATAAATGCATACATATAATTAAAATACTTTTGTCAGGCACAGTCGGGCATAACATTAAATCTCTCTTTTTTTAAATGCGAAAATACGTTTAAAAAAGGTACAACGTACATCCAAAACAAAACGTATCGGCTTTCGTGTTATTTAAATCTTACTGAGGTGAGTCAGACTCTGTTGCATTCAACTGTCCGACGTGCTTTCTTGTTATGTGTTTATGCATCACCGAGGTGCTGCAGTGATACGCGAGGACTGCTTTGCAAATAATGCAGGGAAACTTTTTATTCGCCAAATCCAGGCTAGAGTGCTCCCAAACTTTAGATGTTTTGGTACGCGTAGCTGCGGTGTTGGACGCCGCCATTTCTGTTAGTTGGCGCTCAGCAGAGAAGCTATTCATTAATAAATAATAAACCAAATCCATTCCATGGCCTCACTCGGTCGGAAAAAACGCGTCTGGCGACAACAATTCATTGTCGACTATTTCTGACGAGTCATTGCAGCCCTAATCATCAGTGTGTTTTGCCTTCATTCTGCCACCTTTACTTGCACTAACTTTTAAAAACACCACAAAACGTTCACGTCTTTCAACTAAAAATTGTGACAATAATATGTTTTTTCATAATTGTGTTTATTAGCATGTACCTCCATCGGCTGTGGCAGGATGATGACGGTCATGGTTCCAGTGTGGATTCGCTGCATTCTGGAGGAGAGGCCCACCTCGGGGATCCTCTGGACTCTGTGTGTTCCTCCTTCATGCTTCAGGTGTCTGTACACATTCTCGCCTGCTATCCTGATGGCTGCATGGTGCAAGCCACCTGAGAGATGATTAGGGCACAAAGCGTGAGTTTCTAACGCTATGAGAGCAATTCTGTCGGATCACACCACCTACCATATTCTGCAGGGGCATAGTTCAGAACCTCAAAGTCCCAAGCCTTGTAGCAGGCAAAGCCCTGGTACATGTCGAACATTTCTCTGGTGAACTGCTGGCATATGTCACCTGAAACTCAGAAAACAGCAAAAACATAAGCTCAATTAAGCAAGAAGAGTGGAAAAAAATCTTTCTTACCTCCAGTTGTTCGTCCCGATACGACCTCCAGCACCACATCACTTGGATCAAGTGGGTCACAGGGGACAAGAGTTCTGATCAGCTATAGGGAAATATTACAGTAACTCAAAATCACCCCCCAAAAGCCTTCGTAGATACATGAAAAGCTTTCAAGCATTTTTTTTTAAGGATTTGTAGCCCCAAGAACCCTGATCTGACAAACACTCACATCTTTTCTTAAGGCCAAGATCCTGTTGGAGATTTGCACTTCCTCCTCTTTGAGCAGCTGGGTCAGGTTTTCATCTTCATCTCTGGATCCAGCTGAATCTGCAGCACGTAAACACCTACGTAAATATTGCAGCTTGCACACAAACACGCCAAGTAACAACTACGTTTAAAGTCTTGACTCACTTTGCAGCAACGAAATTACTTCTTCGAGGTCTTGTCTGGCTTGATCAATGCTCGTAAACACATTCCCCAAAGGCAGCAGTTCTGTTTGCCGCTTCATCAGCGCTTTCCTATCCGACTCACTCAAACATTCATGCTCTAATTTTTTGCAGATAACTTTATAGTCCTCTATAAGATGCTGGAGATACCTCTGAACGGCATTGCTGTTGTATAAATCTCCTAAATCACAATGAGAAAGGCGTTTTGGTAATAGTGACCCCCAGTGCTCCACCTTTAGACTGCTCTGTTGCATTACTGTCCTCCATTCTCTTCCCCTTCCTGCTCTACACGAAGCTAAACGGCTACACGAAGAGCACAGTCTGTAACCGCGACTCACAAACATGAGATAAAATTTAAGTTTAGGCAAAAAAAAAAAACTTACAATAAAGCTCAAAGCTCTCGCTTACCACTTTAAAAAAGGGTCGCAAATGCTAATTTGCTACAGCGACTAGCATACGCCGGATGTAGCGTGATGTGTAGCAAAAGGAATTCTGGGTAATGTTGTTCTAACTGTTTCCAGGAAACTTCAAATAAAATTGTCTTTTAATTTAACTCAGCGTGGTAGCCAAATAGCTGACATTTTCGACAACATGTCACACCTCAAGAAACAAGTTGACGAGAAGAAAGGTCATCATATTATGTTATTTTGTATTTACAAAATAGTTTACGTAAAAATGATGGCATTAACATTGCTAGCTCATTGGGCAATGCTAACTAGCATGTTTGACCGATTTGGTTTATTATTTACTTATTTACATTTATTGTAAAAAAATCACACAAATGTGTTTCAGCATATAAATTATTTATATTTTTCAGTTTTATTTTACTTCCTAACATACTATATTAAACAACAGAATTTTTAAATGGCGGGAAATTTGCATTTCTTGGTCACATTTACACACAACCAATTGTAGGGAACAAAACTGAAGTTGGTTTCTTTTTATTCATTTTCCATTCTGAAATTGGCTAAAGGGCAAGTCCAACTGATTATTCGACTCCCTGATCATCTTTAATCCACTCTAATTATATAACTACAGCATCATTTGATGATGTACTTAGCAGAAAAGATTAGGAATTTTTGTTTGACCAAACTACAGTTGATCTCTTTTGGTCAGTAGCTTTGAAATAGATGCTTTAGCTTAATGGTGAGCGGCGATGGCGCTAGATATATTTAGTTTCTTTAATAATCAATTTAAAAAGTGCTTAAAAAAGATTTTTTAAAACCACATTTTGAAAAACTAAAAAAAAAGTTCACGCAAACAAAACTTCAGATTTTAAAAATGATAGTATGTCTTTTTGAAAGAAAAACTTTTCCATTTAAGCAAAATTTAAGTCATTGATTGGATCAGTAAGTTTTTATCAGAAAAGATATTTAAGGTAAGTTTGGGGGTGGGGCGGGTGTTTACAACTTTTTTGATTGCAGTTTTCTATTTTGATTGATTAATAGAAACACAATAATCTCCATATTGGGGGCTAAATAGCTACCGCTGCAAGCAATATGTCAAACTTCACAAAATGCTAAGATGGTGGTTTTATCAGCTAATAACTTGATAAATATAATTAGAAAAATGTTAAACTAATGCTAATAATGCTACATTTGTTTTTTCATTTGCTGGGTATTCACTAGCAGACATTAGCCAGATTTTTTTGTTACCATTTTTTAAAATGAATGTATGTATTTTGAAATCTTCAAGACAGAAATTGATCATTTATTTCAATTTGTTTATTGAAATATGAACAATTTTACAAAGACTATAAAATTATATAAAGTTATAAGCTGTAGCTTGACAAATGCATCTAATTTAATCCACATAAAATGTGTTTTTAAAACGTGTCTAATTAAAATTATTTTACTTAATTACTTCTAGTTTTTCATTTGTTTTGGTCAGAAGTTCCAGAAACTCCTGAGTTTTCTCTAACTAAGGCTGTGGAGGACATCAGTCAACATGGCTTTGCCCAAGCTGAGACCTTAAAAGAACAAGAGGATACACTCAGCTCCCTGCAGGTTTCTCTTTAGTTTCTCATTATCATTAATGTTTCTAAATAATTAAGGTCACAGTTTTGTTTTATCATCCAAGGCTACACTTTCGGATGTTGTGAAGAAACGTGAGGCTGTGGAGGGGGAACTAAGATCAAAAGAGAGGGAATTCCTTTTGTGTCAAGGTCAGATGGAGCATCTGGAGAAGCAATCTAAAGTCCTACATGATCGCTGCGTATCCATCACCATGAGCAAATCAGAACTCCAGGGTCTTATACGCGAGGAGGAGGAGAACGCTCGCAAGGTCAAGGCAAAGTTAGACACTTACAGAAGCAAGATGAAGGCTCACAGAGAAGCTGTTCTGTTTGCTGACAGCCAGACAGAGGCCCACAAACAGCTAGAGGAGAAGAAGATGCAGATCCAGATGCTGAAACAGATGAAAGAGCAGCTCAAGAAGGATTTAGAGGATCCAAATGGAGCTACACAACAAATGGCAAAGGTTAGCGTGGGGAAATGAATATATTCCTGCAGTTCTATTTCAAATAGGCTTAGCGATTTATAGCATCACTATTGGGTAACATCCATTCCTTAACCAATCACTGAAGAGCTTTTAATTTAGGCCCGCCTACTGGGTGGGCCCTGATCCAGTGTAAGAGGGTGTACCACCATTCTTCTCTCATTTTCTCTTCATACAACCATTTCACTAAGATCTAAAGCCTAATTTATAAATCTCCATTAGCTTAAGTGTGGAGTCCCGCACATGTGTTGATGGAGATGTTTTTCCTTCAGACTTCCCCATCACCTGGGTCAGTGGTCCGCAAATGGCGGCCACATCCAGCCCGCGAGCCCTCTCTTTGTGGCCGCCAAACCCCCCGCGCTCCCCTCACCCCAACGGCCGACCAGGAGGTGTAGGATAGATATAGCTGAGGAAAATAATCAAATAATCAATGCATGAGATGCGGGCATAAACGATTCTGCATCATAGAAGAGTACGTCATAATCAATGATAGTGGAATGTAGTTTTGTTATTTTAACGGCGGCACCAGCGTAGCACCCACATCTGTCAGAGCGGTGTTCTCCACATTTACCGGGTAGGAAACTTTGGTCCACCTTTATGTGGTACTGCAGGGCTGAGCGCTAGCGTTATGACCTGAGACCGAACCCGAACCCAATCAGCCCGATCGGTTCTGTTGGATTTGGGCCGTGAATTATGCTAATTGAGCGGGTTTCTGCGTGGCGCGCTCCGCTCGCACGATCAACGACAGAGAGAGAGAGAGAGAGAGAGGAGGACGCACCTCCAAACACGCGTTGTTATTTTCAAAACTTAATTATTATTTCTCCTGGAAGCGCTCAGTCAGACAAGTGCTGTGATGTCGGGCGATCCGGTCTTGGGGAGGTAGCAGGGTGAGTGACGGCGGCTGCGGCATAACCGTCTGTCTCCTATTTAGTGGCACAGAGAAGTTAAAAAGAGAGATGAATAGAAGATAGAAGTTCTTGCTCCACTTCATTCTTTTGTTTCATGATGATAAACTGATGTTAAATTCAGCTTAAAGAGAAGCTGGGAGGAAGCTTTGGTTCATTTTAAGTTACAGGAGATCTTGTCTCCTGTCTGCTCCTCCAGAGACAGCATCGACATGAGGGTTACATGGTGAGGGTCCCACAGGACAGGTTAGTGCAGTCACACAGCCGAGCTGGAGGTGGACAGGTGTTGCCCCCCATCCGGCCCTCTTGCTTCTGGGTCTATTTTGTGAGTGGCCCTCTGACCATTATAATTAAGGACCCCTGACCTGGGTGGTGTTGCATAGCATTTCCCCGCTAGGACAACAGAGGGCGTAGCGCTTTTCTGGGAGATCCTGCCACCATTACAGTCACATATCTGGTCTGCGATAGTGTATTTATTATTGTTTTTGTATTGTTTTAATGTTTTAATGAGACTTTTTGACACAGGACAAATTGTCCCTCATTGTCCTCCACCTCTTATGCGATCGACACCTCTAAACTAGGGATTCACGATATATCAATATCAAAATCGGTATCGGCCAATGTTATTCATTTTTTAACATATCAGTATCGATACGGTAAATAAAACTGGGCCGATATTAACAACCAATATTTTTTCCATCTTGTGTCCATTTGTTTACTTGTTTCAGAGGGTGGGGGTGGGGTTGGGGGGTGTAATTTTTAGTCATGTGACAGTGATTGTAATCATCTCAGAACAGTAAATGTGTGTGGTGTGTGTACATAATAATGTAAATTCAGGTTTAATAATTTTCATTCTATGCTAAATCTGCTGATTTTAGAACATTAATGTCAGTTTATCAGTATCGGCCATAACAGTGATCTCAATATCGCATATCGTATCGGTCCAAAAAGTTCATATCGGTGCATCGCTACTCTAACCCCACGTTTCTTGTGATTTCTGTCCACGAATGAAACGCTTGCTCTGTATCTTGCTACTCCTTCTGACTTTTTCTGCTAGACGTCCTTCATTCTGTTCCGTGTCTGTCACTAATGTTTTACATTTTTTTAGGTGGCAATGGCGATGCTGTTGACGAATTGAACGGAAGCAGCGTCCTGACCAGTCACAAGCTTGGATCCTGCCTGTCTCCTGCTTTTTGCTTCTCTCCCACCATGGGGAGTAATTGCATCAGCCAGAGTCTTTTCTCTGATGTGAGGAGACCTTAAAAGTGTAGCTCTTTAAGGCGGTGGGCCTCACTGGTTCCGGTAGCATTAAGAGCCTTTGGGAAACAAATGGGGGGTTTACTACCCTCTTATACCACTAGTAGGCGTATGTTATAAGCACTTCAGTGATTGGTTATGAAAGGGATGTTACCCAATTGCAATGTGGGTAATTTGTAGAATCCAAGGTTGCAATACGTAACCATATTTTTCATTTTGCTTTAACTTTCCTCTTTGCAGAATGAGATCGATGCTCTGAAGATGAAGATCTTTGAAAGGAAGCTGAGCATCGCTGAGAGGAGGGAGCAGCTGAAAGCAGAATGTGAGATTCACGTCCAGTTAAAGAAAGACACTGAGGTCCAGCAGATCATTGGAGCACGTTTGTAAAAAAAAATCACAAATGGCTTCCTAAAATAATGGTTTTCCTGTCTTACAGATTCAAAACAAGCGCCACGATGCCATCGTCAGGCGCCTCTGCTGCCAGGTGAACAGAGCCCAGGCCCTCCACAGGTAAAGCAAAAGCATAAACATCTAAATGAATCCACATTTATGTTAGCAATAAGGTGGAAAATAAATGTTTTTGCACATTGAACGCTAATGAATTGTGTTGTTTTTACTCAGGCAGATGCTGGAGGACGTCTTTGACTTGCAGAATCAGCTGGATGAGCTAAAGATGCAGCAGCAATCCTCACAGGGCTCAGCAGTCAGTGATTATTAAACTGTAGAGTCGGGATTTTCATTTTTGGGCCAATTTCAACGGTTCTGCTCTATTAAAAGTGTTGTTTCTCCAGTTGGACACGAGGGGGCAGCATTGCCCACTCAATACTTGTCTCTGGTTGTTATTTATTCGATTTATACAAGAAAATAATATGTTAAATTAAAGATTTGTTCAAATATGTTGTCTGTTTTTGAAGAATGTGAGTGCTTTCACTTTCTTGGTTGATCAGGGGCCAGTGGACCAAGGCATGGGACAGAATTTCAGGTCAAGTGTTGACAGTAAACCAGCTCATCCAGGGCTTGGGTTCAGTGCACAACAAAAGCCAAGCGTCCACTGTAACTGTTGATGCAGCAGAGGGTTTGCTTTGGGACTCACTGTTCCAGCTTCTGCTTCGCTGCTCCGTTTGATTTTTCACGAGGTGGCAGTCTCACGGTTGGCTAATGAGGGTGGGACCTTGCCACCTCAGCCATAACTCTAAACAATGAAAATACCCTTTTTCAAGAAATGAGTTTAAATCTGAGCAAATTTAACCAGGCAGCCACTTAAAAAAGCTTGCACTTGCATTTATGAAACAAGAAAAACTACAAATGTAACTTCTAATAGTTTTTTTTTAATTATACAAATCCACTTTTATTTAGCTTCACTGCTTCTGTTTCTGCAGGTGCCCCTTGGCTCTGGTTGACCTCATTCAAACACCAACAGCTATGGGCTCAGTTCTGCTGGCGCTGCTCTGCCACAGCCGTCTTCTACCCAAATTCCTCAAAACATCCTGCCTGCCTACAAAAAGAACAATCTGGTATAAATAGAAGTCAAACACTGATAATGTACAGTACTCCTTACAGTACAAACACAGACCTGCACACTCGCATCCTAAAAGGCACGTCACTTTTCTCCTTTCAAAAAAATATGATAGCAATGCAAGTTTTAATGCCGTTCCTATGATCCCCACTCCAGGAGAACTAATCCTAAATGTTTAGAAGATTGTGTCCACACCAGTGCTCAACCACTTGCTGCCGTGACATATCTTCTATGTTAGCATCAAAACCAAAAAAAAAAGGTGGTTTGCTGTGGATCGGTCTTAGTTTTAAACTGAGATTATGATGATAAATTATGGAGTTGTAATTGTTTTGATTAAATGTGAGTGCAAGCACAATCTTTGCAATATCGCTAAACCTTGAACGATCTAGCTAGTTGTCAGTGTTCAGAGGTACTATCAACTTTAATTGAAGGAAATTGTATATTATAGTAAAAGTACTATAATTGTTATTTTAACACAATCCAGCATTCACATTGTAAACACACTGTAGACACCAAGTTATATCAGCAGATGGCAGAAATGTGCTGTTTCCTTGGGTTTTGAATGTGGAACATAGAAACATTTTTAAAATCTTATTTCTAATTCACTTATGTTTTCCATGCAGGCAGAACATGAAAATAGTCTCCTACACCTATCTCCTGCATTAGCTTCTGATAGAAAATAGGCTCTAGAGGAAACATCTAGTAAAATCTAACCATTAGCTTAAGCAACTTCACCACACAGCAGAACTCCTTCGGGCTTGAGTTATTTGCGGAGATGAAACATCAAAGTTGCAGGGCAAACAGAGTCAATGGTAGCATTGCTGTTATCCAGTCAGAGGCAAGATGTCCAAATATCAGAAAATAAGACTCTATTTCCTGCCTCCTGAAGCTCATCTCTGGTGTGGCTCACTTCTATTTCCTGGAAATGGTGCAGTAGTGTTAGCCCTTAGCATTGATGCCTATACTGCCTATAGGATGGACTGGCCCGGTTCATTCCTACTAGACCACAGAAAATGTATTGTTTAAAAGAGTGTTCCACCTTTAACTACTCATAACTACTTTGTCATTATGAGATTGTTATTATAAATGGTTATAAATATTATTATAATCAATACGGACTGCGCTGTAGCTCCGCCCACGTGCATCACACACCAGGTATAGGGCACCAACTCACTGGGCAGGCAACAATCAATCAGGCTTATGAAAGAAAACACCAGTGAGGCTCTCCGCATGCTGAGCACCATCAGCAACAGCAATCCTAGGCAGGATGAGAGATAAAAAAGAAATGAGTCTCCCACAAGATCAATTAGCCCCATGAGCAAAACACAGTGCTGCTATGAAAGCAGCGAAGAGCTGCAAATCAGAGTGGGTTTCTTCAGGGACGTCTATGATTGGGAATAGAATCGTTTAGGGAAAAGAATCACTGTCAGAGTTCATAAATGAAAACAACAAAGGCTATTTTGTGTTTTGCCTTTGTTCTATATTCTTTTAATTTTTAAAGACCCCCTAGAAGACAATCACGAGTTTGTCCTTTGGAAACGGGAGTGTGCGTCATTCTGAAGGCATGACAAAATTAAAGCATGAATGCAGAACAGAATAGGACAAAATCATTTTACTAATTGATTGTTTTGATCCCTAACGTTGACTAAAAAGAGATATATTTGGCTAGATGCTCAGCTTTAGTTCAGGTCTGAAAAACAGAGTTCTAGCCATTTAACAAAAAACATCTTTCACATACCTTTTACCCAATTTCTTCAGCACTCCTTAATCACTCCTTGAAAACATTACCTAGAAGTGACAAAACAGCAACAAACTTCCAAGAACTTTGACTCGGACCTGTAGAAACGTGCTTGACAAGCTTTCACACCAACACAGAAGCCTTCTTGATGCACTGTTGATATTCATCAAAACAATTCGTTTTACTTCATTAAAATAAAACAAAACACACTTCAAAATCAGTGAATGAGACTTTGAGTGTAAATGTGCAAAATTAGAAAAAACAGGAGCTGAATTTCAGGTGTCTAATTGTTTAATTTTATCGCACTATTTCCGTATCTATTGTAAAATTCATAAAGTTGAATGGTTTTTGCAACTGTTTATAGTAAAATGTAATCGTGTAGCAGAACTGAGTAAAGTGCACCAACCTATAATTTTAAATTCCTTCCTGCATGAGGCAGCTGCAGCTCAGCGAGCCAATAACACTGCACATGTGTGTGTTTACGCGTGTGTGAGTGGCGTTTTTATAGCCGTTCCTCTGGCATGCTGCCCGTGTTAGTTGCATTAAGGCAGAGAAGTAGCTGCCTCGAGTGTTGGGCTGTGAGAAATCCATTCCTGGAATCTCACCAGTGTGAGCAGAGCAATTAAAATGTAGCAGTTAAATGATTATTTATCTGTAAGCGATGGATGATTTTAAATTAATTTTTATTCATAGTCTAATTTAGGGAATTGGCTACGTGCAAATACAAATAGGCGCTTGATCTCCAAGTGATTATTCATGGAAAAATACGTAAGATAATTATCTTAAAAGGAAAACTTTAAGCCCTCCTCAAGTGTTGTGATGAGAACGGGAGAAGGGGCTGCTGGGTGCCCCTCTGGGACAGAGCCAGCTGGGCATATCATGGACTCCTGGAAACAGTGGAACCTGATCTGCCTATCTCAACTGTCTGTAGAGGATTCTGAAGACGTCTGGGTGGATATTCGTGGTGTTGGTGTCGGGATTCCTGCTGTTTGGCCTGAGCGGTTACCTGGCTTACTGGAAAATTAATAAGCTGTCAAAGAATATTGGCTTAATCCCGGGGCTCAGGGATGGATAATACCACGCTGTGAACGCACAAACTCATATAATTGTCGAGATGAGTCATAAGCTTGGAACTTTGGCTGAGATTCAGACTCTGGCACAGAAGTTGGATTCAATCAAGGATAGAGTTGACGGTTCAGCACGGACTGGGATAGATGAATTACGCCATTATTGGATCTAGATAGAGAGGAAATTATCTCTGTCTGGCCTCAAAACAAGTTCTTATCTGAATCTGGTGCCCTTGAGCCTGTGAGGCTGAAGTGATTACTCCCCCTCAGAAGAAATGTGGAATGCTGCCGTCGCCATGGCAACTCTGTCTCCCTATCCCAGCCTGGGTGGGACTGTGACCGGTGAAGGCTGTGGAATTGCTTCCAGGAGTCACCCAATTACCTCCCTCCCCTGTTCAAACAGAGGTGACGAGCGCTGCTTATCGTGGCTGCATGCACTGATGTGAGGAGAGTCCCCAACCCTACCTCCCCACCCAGTGGACACTTATGTTGTGCAATGTCTGAAGTCTGTTGCATTTCTGTCTGAGGTGTTTTTTGCATTGCAAAGCTGCCCTCCCTGTGGAGGGTAACTCTGAAGTGCCTTTTTCCCTCCACCTGACCCAATCCTCATATAAACCCTCTGATCTCTATTAAGGTAGCGCGACTCGGGTTGCGAATGTCCACAGTCACCAATTCTTGCCATGTGTCTTTGTCTGTATGTATGTCAGATCTTAGAATTGTGTGTACTGAAACTCTCATCTCATTTCCCTCTGGGATTAATAAAGTACCGGTATCTTTGAATTTGATTTGAATTTGAATTCATCTGTATTCTTCAGATGTTTATCGTCTTCTGCTGCTCCACCTTCTGCTAAAACAAAGTCTGCCTCTGCTTGCTCAAGCTGGTTCCAAGCATCCTACTGAGAAGTCCACAAGTCAGAAAAACAACTCCTGTAACTCTTGGAAATAGAGCAAAGTCTCATCTCATCTCATGTATTTCGCTTCCAAGAAGTCAGACTTTCTAGTAATCGCCTAAGGAATCCTGATCAAAGGATCTCCAGGAATGTTCGTTTGTTTTTCTCAGAACTTTTGTACCTGCCCATGACAGCATATCAAGAGGGAGAAGGATGAGAAACTGAAGACAAAAGATGAAGATCTGGGCCTTAAACTATTTATAACGCATGATCAGTGTCTGAAAGTCGTGTCAGGAAAAAAACTCCAGCAAAGACCTGAAAACTGGTCACCAGAGATCCGTTATGACAGGTTTACTCTTTGGGAATGAGTTTGCTGGTGCTAAAATGCTTTTCTCTGATTCTGGTGGGTTTAAAAGATTAAACAGACAAACGGGGGGAATTTTAAGTAACACGCTGTTGGTTTTGTTGTGTTTTGACATGACACTGGATCATCTTTTAGATTTAGGTTGTGTTTTTATGCCGGTATAATTTCATTAACTGGTTTAAAGGGATACTTTGCAACTTTTTCATGTTTTTAAATAATTTTCTTGAGCCAGCATGTGCTAAAATGACCCTTTACAGGGTTAATGAAAAGTAAGTCAGACCCTCACCGCCATCTGTGGCCAGGATACCGCATTTGCAAC